GATTTGTAAGATTCTCCCAAGAGCACTGTCACTTACAGAAACAAGGGAGCTAGAGATAACTGTTCAAGCAAACAAATTTGCATTGAAAAATACATTCAGCAAGATTAATGTTGCAAAAAATACCTGTCCCAGGTTTCAGGCTGCTCCATTTTGCGTACAGAGCATTTAGAAGTTTTTTTTTAGGCTTGTTTATGGACAACTGAAGTGCCCACTGCCATGCTTGAACCAGAACTAAGTAGCAATCTTGCCAAGTAGTCACCCTGAGTATGGTGACCTCTAGTGCAGATCATCTCAAGTCATTTAATGTGAGCTGTACCTCTGAGAGTGCAGTAAGCACAACAGTAGTGCAGGCCCTGGAGACAAGTACTCAAGCAGCTGACAAATGCTGCCACTGGGTGTGTTACCTCATTATTACAATTCAACAACACCTGTGACAGTGACATTGCTCACAAAGGTGGTCATCACAAGGCAAAATGGAGCATAACTGCAGCTGACATATTGAGTGCAGCTCTTCTCTGGGCCTTGTTGTAACAAAAAGTGGGAATCAGGCTGATAAACACAGCAGGGTGTGTTCTTAGCAGACATATGGCAGAGAAACAGAGGAAAAAAAGCCATCAGGAAGATAAAAGGTTCATGTCATCTGATGGGCAAAAACCCAACCATGTACCCTAGCTACCAGAAGAGCCCATACAACATGTACAGAGCAGATGTAAGTTCCTTCCAGTACCCGGGGAACAGCAAACAAGCCCACAATAACTGCAGTGAAAGGCAAGTTGTTAAAGACAGGCAGGTCTCAGTGCTTTGTCTTTTTAAACCAAATAAATTCCACAATGGAACTACCATATAATGGTACAGCCAAAGAATCTCTCAATGTCAGCCAAAGGTTCTGCAGTGGATTGATGGCAATCTGTCTGTCCCTGAAATAGGCCCAACTCAGAACAGGCAGCTTGAAGAGGAGAGCAGCAAATATCCTAGCAATTTTTGTAGCAGGAAGAAAATGCCACCAAAACTGGACACGGGAAAATGCAGAGATATTTCCTGGCATTTACCTATGCTGTTTGTAGTGAAACCCAAATTAAAACTAGACAAGCAGTCAAAAGTTAGGTTTGAATTCACCAGTAAACATTTAGACAAAACAATTGAACAGAAAATCATCACTACCTGTACCATTAAACACAGACAGAAAAGTCTGTTTACGTATCATCTCACAAAAGCCAACCAGCTAGAATTGGTGGTGGGGAAGTTGTTATTTACGAAGAGTTTGCGACTATGACCTTCTGTTTTGTGAACAGGAGACTGGTAATTTTGCAGTATTCCAAAAACCTGCAAAGTGTTGGAAAAGTGTTTAAAAACTCAGGCATTTTGAGATGATTGTATCCTGTGCCTTGCCTCATCTATGCGACTGGACAGGTGTTAGATAACCCCATCTAGGCTCCCTTTCCCATGAAAGGTTGGAGCAGTTGATCTTTCAAGGTCCCATCCAGCCTGGGCTATTCTGCAATTCTATAATCTTCTCTCCTTCCCCACACCAAATAAAAAGTGTGTCTACCTGTTATAGAGAAGAATATCAGGCTTCCAAATCAGTCCATCGGGAAAACGGACATTCTTCACTCCCGGGTATTCAGACACATTCCACTGTAGGTAATGATCTGTCCAGTACTAAGCCATACACACAAAAAATAAGTTAGGTCATCTCATCCACTGGTTTACTGTAGTTCTCTAGGGACTGTGTAGACTGAATCAATAGGTGTTCTCTTGTTAGATACTGTCTAGCTTCAGGCAGTGAAATGTTTGGAGAGGGTGAATTAGTCCACCAGAACTCAATGGAACACACAAAAATCTCATTTTAGTTCACACTGCTGTGCACATAACAGCTTATAAAAGATTTGGGGTGCTTATATTTTATTGTTCATGCTGTCTCAGGTGCCAGTTTTGGAGAGAATTGCTTTTACAATTCACACAGTAACTTCAATTATGTTTATCTTCAGAGACAACTTTGTTTTCTCTTGTTGGAAATTTTCAGGTTGTAGCAACTTGATAAAAGCCATGAGGTAGAGCAGCCAACAGTCACTGCTGATGAGGAAGACAACTGTGATGGCAGGAGGTTAACAGTAGCATAGAAGGTCTTAGCAGCTCCTGTGGCCTGAAGTTAGGCTACCTGTGAGGCAGGTGCCCAGCAGCACTGCACAGTGCCACATGCTTCCTCCCAGGCTGGCCATTGCTGCACAGGAGGCAGCAGCCCTGGGGGCTGTCAGTGCTCCTTTCAGCACAGCCTTGAGTGCCAGTAGAGGCAGACAGGCTGTCACAGCCAGAGCAACAGGGCTTTGATCTGTGCTTAGAGTTGCTAAATCCCACACACTGTCATTGAAACATATGGTCGTGCACAGTCATAAACAACAGCAGTGCCCCAGACTTGCAGGCAGCTGAGTACCATGGCAGCTCTAGCAAGCTGGTTACTTCCTGGTCTCCTGGGAAATACTAGATGAGCTGCTATATTTTCCCAAAATCGAGGTTGTACTTCACTCCTTACTAAGTAAATGACTTGTCAGGATACAAGGGTGGTTACTGTTGTGCACCAAAGGCAGCAGAAATACAGTTCATTTTGTTTCACAAAATTTATTTTTTTCTTATAATGTATATGCTCCATTATGTTGTGCTTCCCTCTATCTCCATATTATGTTCTTTACATTAACTTCATATGACTGAAGGCATTATGTGACTTAAAGTGAAAATTTAGCCAGATTTACCAAGCTGATGCAATGCCAAATATTACTCTTTTAAATGTAAACTTCTAAATGGGTGAGTAAATGTGCAGTACTTACCCCTTCAGTCTACAGGCCCTTGCCAAAATGTTTGACAGGCATTAAGGTGAGGAAAAATTGGCTGTGGGTATTGTGGAGGTAATATATTGGCCATTCTCATGAGGTATTCACAGCAAATTGTTCTATGTAATCCCTTGCATTGCTGTCACAGGCAAGTTTTGGTTTGATACACTAAGTCTCCAGTTAGCCTCATGCTGAAGGTATTCAAATTCATTCTTGTACCTTTAGAACAGTGAAAATGACTTTAAATCAAGTCTAGAGCTACTGTAGCTGAAGCACCTCTAATGCAGACTGAAAGAGCAAAGAGCTCAGGGTGCTTGGGTTAGTATGAACCTGTGTGACTGGGCAAGGCTCCTGCTGGAACTTAGACCGAGTTTAAGGGTTTGATGCTGAACGGTGTTGCCATGAGATAGAGGTCAGGATCAAATACTCTGCATGGATAAATATTAGATTTCTATTCCCCTTTGTATGTAAGTATTTTGGTGATGATTATATAAAATAGATTTAAGATACATTGCTGATTGTACACAGATATGTATCAAGAAATGGAGTGGAGAGAAAAATTCAGTGGAAAACTTATTTCAGACCATTTAGCATAATAAAATGACAAATGTTTGCCTTAAGCATGCTTTGAATCTGTCTAGTATACCATTAACAGACAGCAGCAAACACTTTTCTAATGTGCACACAGGCCATGAAGAGTGGCTACATCTTTTGCAGTAACCAAGCGATCTGCTCATTGCAGTTGTAGCATGCTCCACATCCAGTATGTGCTGAGGTGAATAAATCAAAAGAAATACAGAATATATAAAATAATCAAGAATTTCCTTAGGGAAAAAACCCAATCTCAAAAAGGATAAGGATGCTGTGGGATAAAAGAGAAGGAAAATAAATGATAGCTTCTTGAGTATGAATTGTCGTCTGTTTTCCTGGTAAGAAATCATAGCAGCTATCGTCATTGTAGCTGAAAGCCAAAACCATATTATATTTGACAGTTTTAATCTTACTGTACAACAGACCTGTAAAATAGCATGAGTTGAATGCTTCTTCCATGTCAGATTTTCTTTGTGAGCAAACGGAATAGCCATGCTATCCTCTGTAGGTCGTGGGAATAGTCTTTCATTTGTTTCCTAAGGCCTACCACAGTGCAAGAGAGGTGCTCTAGATCAAATGTTACACTAAAGGAAAAAAATAATGCTTTAAAACTGAACAAGCTGCTTAAAGAAACCAAAAGATGTAAAGTTTCTGCGGCAGCAGCACGATTGTCTGGAATAATAAAAATCTTCCGCAAACATTTGCTTAACCCAAACAGTTCAGTTTCTCTAATACAGATGGGAATTGAACTAATGGCAATTTCTCAGCCTAGCTGCTATAGCACGGAGAAAGCTTCCCATATCACCCTGTCCTTGTAGAGCACAAACTTACAGTAGAAATGTTTTGTGGATGCATTAGGATCCCACAGGAGTCAGCATGGTAAGCATCATCTTGTTAATTCTAAGTCATAATTTAACCTAATGCAAAAAATAACCAAACATGTCAGAATAAATCAGTGTAAGGCTCCTTTGCTTGAGAGCAGATCTGTCTCTAGCTAACCTTTCAGAGAAACAAATTTTAAAATACTCTCACAAAGTTCTTGAATAGTCTATTATTTATTCAATAATAATTTTCACCCTGAGTGAAAATTACCTCCTGCCCAGCAATACCACCCATGAGTTAATGGGGACAAAGTCCTCTGCTGTGCTATCTAGTGGTAGCAATATTATGGATGAGTAGTAAGAGAGCAAATGAAATTCTGTGACAATTTAAAGCAACATTAAGAATTGCAACAAAAGGTAAAATAAAGCTACTGTTTGAAAAATTAATACCTTGTGTGGGCAAAACTAGCTGGGAAATCAGGAAAAAATATACTATTCCCAGCTGAACATTAGGAAATTTATGTTCCAGTTCCCATTTTAGACATGTAACTGAGATATAGTATTTGGAGTAGTAACATCAAAAACCTCTCATGTTCACAGTTAATGTCTTCTGATGACCTATCTTTAAACATCTGTTGGAACAACTTGGGAATAGCATGGCCATTTCAATTAAAATCCTCTTGCAGTTTCTTAAGGAGACAGTCAGCAAAGCAAATAGGGCGGCAGAGACATTCAGTTAGGACAGTGGCAGCAGCTCTCAGGAGATAATGAACCTCTTTGGAGCAATTTTCCTCTGTATCAGAAGAGTCAGCTGACAATTTTCAGAGTGCTGATCAGAACAGCTATTGCAGATGAAATGCACTTCTTGCACATAGACTTCTCTTCACAATCAAATGATTTACATAATGGATTTGTTGGAATGAGGGAAAGGCACTTGCACCTATAGTTAATCCACCTGGGGCTCTTATGTCACCATTATCTGACAACAATCAAGACTTTGGCATGACTAAATCAACTACAATCAGTTAGTAACTTATTTAGATGCAGTTGCTCAGATTCTTAAAAGTTTTCAGAAATACCTGAAACATCAAGACCTAAAGCTCAGCCTTATAGATTTTTCCATTCAGGGTAGCTTTGTCCACTATGTAGCAAGATATAGGACAAAAGCTGGAAAATTTTCTAAAATTCAAACCCATCACTAGGTTAAACTCAAAGACCAAAGGGGGGACAAAACCATACTTTGTTTCAAAACTTACCATTTGTAGCCATATGTTTGTGGTCAATACTTGATTCTTTTCATCCTGGGAGGAAGGAGAAGAGGCAGCAGAAAAAAAAAAAAACAACACAGCTTAGTACCATACAGATAAAACAATACCAGTAAATATATCTGACTATTATAAAATAGCCAGTTGTGCTAAGGCACCTTAGCTACTCATTGCCTCTCATTGCAACAGAAGTTTTCACAGGTACTTTTTAACGTTATTTCATATTACCACAGTCAGTCAAATTGTTTCCTGAGGGTGTCCTTCTGCCACACTCTTCCCTAGGGCTCCTTCTTTAATCTAGATTACAGTAGGGGTTACCTGTTTCACCTTTGCCAGGAGCAGCTCTCTCACTAATTAACCTCATACATCCAGACATGCAGGTGGTAGAAAAAATAACGAACAAAGAAATTGTGACTAAGATCGGATGATGTCTGCTGAGGCCACGTTGAGTAGCTTCTTAACATCTGTAGCACCTCTGATGGCAGTAGAACTCTACGAAGTGTTGCATCAGCTTTCCCAGAAAACTGTTGTCAGGGCATAATATTATTATTCTGCCTGGCACAGTTCCAATTTGAAGGCCTTCCCCCTTGCCTCCTGTGAATATTTGATGTAAGCTCAGGTGACACAATAGGCATCTTAATGCTGAAGCTAATTAAAGAGATTCATTCTTCACTTCTCAGACACAGGAAAATATTGGTAACCTTTTTCTGTGGGAGGTACTGTATCAGTATCCAGCTGGGCTGTGTGAAGCTAATGGAATATACTATATATGCAGACAGTATTACACATTCTTCAACTTGAACACACAATCCCTGTCCCAACACCAGCCAAAGCTCCATTTACAGCCTAAGAAAGTGTCATAGGAACTTCAGTCACCAGTACAGCAGCAACTACCAGAGCTGTTCATATGTCTAGACCTCTGAACTTAAATCTGTCACTCCTGAGCCTAAATGATGTTCCTAAATGCCCCAAAATGGCCAAAAAAATGTTTAATCACATTTCCTACTATAAAAACCCTTTCTTTTTTGTGATAATACACTTCAGTAAAGGTCAATATTTTTTCTTCTTTTGCTCACATTTTGTGAACTTCTAAGTCCTGAGAGACCTTTAATTGAAGCTATTTTAGATCAGCACAATAGTAGAAAGTTGCACAGCTTGTAAAATCAAATACCGTGCAAGGGACAATGGCATTTTTAAAGCAAGTAAAGCCTTTTGAGGAGCAGCATCAGTAATTGTATGGCAGTGTTACTAGATTGTGTATAATCACAACTAAATGTTCCACATACAAACAAATAAAAAGATTTCAGATAAAGATCAGTAATGTGCATGAATAAAGTTTGCTTTCAAATGCAACTCCTACCTTGCTTTAAAATGGAAAGGTAAAAAATATAAATAAGCAGACTACAGCTAGTGATTCAGCACTTTTCCTCTCTATTTTCTGCTTCATCACTTCCATGAACCTTTTTCAAAACTGTCTCAAGTGAACAACTCATTTAAATGGCATCCTGGGGAAACAGGTCCCTAACCATTTGGTTTCAGAAATCCATTATTAAGCTGCATTGAATTCTCATGCTGAAGGCATTGCTGAAGATGTCAGCCAGGCAAAGCAGTAATTAATTTGCAATAGTAGCTGTTATTCTCTAGCTGTATAAACACTAATTTGGAGCCTCTCTCAACAACCTGCTTATAGTGTTAGACTACAACAGAACTAGTTTGCACGGGATCTGTAATTCATGAATGAAGAAACAATCCTTAAGAGATCATTCATAAACTAAAGTCTATTGACAAGGGTTGCAAATTAAGGACATATAAAACCTCTATATATTTCTATTCATCATAGCCAATTTTAGGTCAGATGTAAGTACTGCCAATGACAACCTATCATTAAAAGTCTGATAGCATTTTCTCAAAGCTCTGTGTGCTGTCTCAGATGAACATGACAAGTTCTTATCATGCAATGTCCTGGCTACTGTACCAGAGCAGAGCTGACAGCAGCACTGCTCAGTGGTTTCTCTGCAGGGCAGACAATAGTTGTGTTGCTTTGCAGAGGCATAACTGGCTACTCTAAGGTGCAGAGCAATTCAGAATCCATTATGTTGTGGGAAGCTTATTTCAGGACTATTAGCTGAATGGCATGTACTCCTGCATGGTTAAATTCTGCATTAAACTCACATTTTATTCCCAGTGTGATCTCTTTCTACACATGAATGGCCTCAGCCTTAAATTAGTGATGATTCAAAAAGTTCCTTTTCAGTAGCAGGAAAAAATTGTACTAAAGCTGGAGTATTGCTGATGCTTAAGCTAATGATACACCGTGGGGATTTATTGTGAAGCCCTGAGCCAACAGCATAGTCAGATGAACTACTTCAGCAGTACCAAGAAGCAGCTCTACTATCAGTCAGTATACATCACAGAACCAGGCTAGAGAGCCATCAGTGAGCAGTCAAACTAGCAGAGCTGAGGGGGACAGTAGACTTTTAGACCAGCTGTGCTGCTGGCAGAATGATTCAGCTGCCTGCCACTGCCAGGCAGCTGGGCACATGGCAGAGCCTTCACAGGTTTGCCTGCAGGAGACTCTGCAGATGTGTTCTGAAAGCCAAGAGTTAGTCTGAAGTGTGATCTTTCACTCAGCCCCAGCTCAGAGAAGCTATCCTGAGAGCACAGACTCAAAAGTAACTTGTAAGGTGAAGACAAGCCGTAAATGAAGATGTTCCATGCTGTTTTCACAGTGTTTCTTTCTGTTATTTTAAGCATTTAGAGCCTGAAAGAATATATATGAACAAAATAACTCCCACTTGGATCACTATATTTAAGGTTCCATCCGTGTTTGAATCATAAATCCCACTATTGCTCCTCAGCTATAAAAATTTTACTGCATGCTGAGACTCAGTTTATAGTGGTGTTTGGGGTTTTTTAATAGTGTTTGTTGGAGCAAACGACTTCCAGCATTTTAGTCATTATTAGATTGACTCACACATCACTAGAGGAAAGAATCTTATTTTAGAGGGTTTGTCCTTCTCTACGGTCACAAGTGAAGCTGGTAAAAGGTAGGGCAGGAGACATCCTACAAGGTTTCTCCCTGCTTAGGAGAGTTTTTTGGATGCTGTTTCAAAAGCTTTAGAGCAAACTCTATTAACACTGTTCATCAGCTGTGCAGGACCTCCCCACAAAACCTTGTGTGGACTTGAAATGCTTCAGAGAACTTCACCAGTTTTTGCTGCTTTACAGTATTTTGTAAACACTCAGAGAACATTGTGCTTTGAATACAAGAGCAAGGCAACTCCTATTACAAACCCCTTCTGCTATAAAGGAGCAAAGAAAAAAGAACTTCACAAAATATTCTGAGATGCTGGGGAAATCAATCAGAGAATGAGAGCAGAAACTCTATCATGTTGTTTGGATTGGTGTGGCTTTTCCCCATACCAGCTGCCTTAGGTGACTTGCTGTTCAGACAGTACTGTCCAAGTAGCACAGCTAATGGAGAGTTAGGCTTCCTTGGCACGGTGGGAGGTTGGGTGGGAGGCTGCTTTGGTCTGCTTGATTCACAACTGTAGTCCTCATCTGTGAGGGCAGATGGCAAATTGCTACTGGACTGCTTATCACAGTATTTCATGGCAGTGTAGCTAATGAAGGGGAAGTCGCTGACATTGGGAAAACTTGAATAGTCTTTCATTCATTTTTTAAGGTAGATGTAAAAATTTAGCACTTTTTGACAGGAATTGCACTGTCTCCATTCTTCTAGTTCCCACCCCTGGCTTTGTCTGTCTTTTCAATTTAAGCAGTCTATCAGACCTTTGGAAACACAGTTGCCAGAGCCTCAAATTATCCTTCCCTTACCATGTGTTTAACGGAATATATAAATGAAGAGATGGAAATTTGACAATGCTTGGTGAAGGGCATTAGCCTGGACATTACAAACTTTGTGAGGAACATTATCTGTTGACTTTCAAAAGGATGTCAGCACATGTAGTATCCACACTAGAAAAGCTATGCAGCAATTGCAAGGGGAAAGCAAAGTAGAAGAAGCTGCATGCCTATAGACTGGCATGCAGTGATGTGCAGCACCTGGCAGGAAACACTTCCCAGAAGACTTGCATAAAGTGATGTCCCAACTGAAATCTATTAGCTGTAATTCTTGCACTTCAAATGCAGATTCTTTTATTTTCACATGGTTGAATCTCACCTAAATTACAGAAAAAGTAATAGCTCTTTGAACTGGGCTTCAATTACTTTCAAACTTAGTAAAAGACTTTGTAAAAACATTTTAAGACATCACTTGTTACAGCATAATGCTAGGCTCCTGACTGGTAGCCTCTAGCAAGACTGAAGCTAGTAATTGTAGTCTGAAAGTTAAAAATAGCCTGGCAGCCAGTGAGAGATGTAAGACACTCCCTTTACAGACTTCTGTTAGCCTGAATGTCATCCTATTGAAGCCAGCAGGTTAGTCAGTTCATTAGCTCCTATTGTCTCAGCACTTGCTCATTAAACTTTCTCAACATCTTATGATTCACAATGTCAAATTACCTGTGCCTAATGACATTTTTCCACCCATCATTTAAAACCCTGTTATTTTTCACACAGCTTGGGGTTTTCTTCCTCTTCCTTTTTAGGGACCTGTACTGAGCTCACTAAACAGTATCAAATGAAAACCCTTGAATTCTTATAGGATTAGTACTGAGAGGGTGAGTTAAGCACTCGTAAACTAGCCAGGTGACAAAGATTGATGCTATGTCTGTACTTCAGGCAGCTATAAGGATAAGCTGAATCTGAGAGCCTCAAAACTTATGGAGAGCAGTGAAAGAGCTGGACTTTTCCATTCCTGCCCATTGTGCTGGTCCACACCAGCACACTGTATGGCCAATCTCCAGGGGAGGCAGGAGCAGCATCTGATCCAGCCTCACCCACCTGCAGCCCATCTGAAGGCACCACAGTGACCTCACAGTCTTCATAACACCCAGTCAAGATGGGAGTCTATTGCAATTATCCTCTCCTCATGTGCCAAGGTCAATGCTAAACTTTGCTATTAAAGGTGGCTC